CATTGTTTCAAGATCATAAAGCTACATCTTTAGTAATTGCACTCATTCCCCCCACCCCCAATTTATTTAATGTATTTCTAAACTGCATTTCAAGATAGTGGCCTTTCTATGGTAGCTGGCCATGTAGCATGTAAACTGAGCAACATGATATGTATAAGCAGAAAATTACTTGTCATAATTGCTAATATCGAATTATGACACTTTAAAGCTTTGGAATATTACCAAAATGTAAATTGCTTATATGGTGCAGTAAACATGAATGAATACGAAGATGCTGAGCCCGATGCCAATGCAGTTAGTTATTTTTATGTTTCAGGGAGGGAAAAATCCTCTGGTGACCAAACTGGTGGTTGGAACCATTGTGCACAGAATACAGGGAGCTTGAGCTCCTCGGTGGTCTTGTTTAGGTCAAAAATACAGAAAACCAGTAGATGGAAGCAAAAATTTGCAAAGGGGTATGCTGCCATCTAGTGGCCATCTGTATTTCAGCCACACAGATAAATTTTTACCTACCTACCTACCTTACCTTACCTCAGGGGTAGGCAACCTCGGCTCTTTCATGACTCATGGACTTCAACTCCCAGAATTCCTGAGCTGACTCAGGAATTCTGGGAGTTGAAGTCCATGAGTCATAAAAGAGCCGAGGTTGCCTACCCCTGCCTTACCTTAACCCACAGGTTAAGGGTTTGGAAGCAGCAGAGAGATATGTGTGCAGTCCTTTCAAATGCTTCAGAGGGGTGTTGCTATAATTCATGTAAACATACACTCTACATAATATGGCTATAACATGGCTAAGCGTAAAATGCTACCGTTATTATGAAACCATACTAAACCTGGAGGTTAAGTTACATCTCCACTTTTGAGGGAAGGAAATCTCTTGCCTGATTTTGGTGGTTGTTTTTACCAGTATTACTAAATGTAAATGACTGCGCTGAGTCAGTCCGCAGAGCCTTCTCGTACAAGATATAAGCTCCTTATCCAAGCTTTGCATTAGGGATAATACGAAAGGAACTGTGTAGGAAGGTCTCCCATTGGGTTTGGTGAATTTAAGTTGCCAGGCAAGGAGAGTGAGAGGACAGGTAGGAGGATAATGTGAAGAGAGAAAAAAAGCAGTCGGAAGATGAATAGGAATTTCAAACCCTCAGAGACTCCTCACACCTGGTTGACTTGTTTATAAAACTAGTAAATACAGAACCATGCGTTGCTGAATGACTCTCCAGGGATGCGTTAGGAGGATGGAAACAGTTTATATCACTTGCATAACTGCTTATATGGAGTGTTCCCCCTTCCACGATGGTCTTTCAGTAAGGAAATCAGGTTAGGATACTTGGACAGCAGGATAATTAAAAAACAAGGGATGCCTGGGCTGTTCTACAAACCATTAAGTGTGCAGCCATGAAGTAGCTTCTGGTTAGCCCTCTTTCTCTTTCCAGGCCTCTCCAAATGCCAAATCACTGCCATTATCTCTTGGAAAGACTACAAGAGTCCTCGGGAAGGACTTAGAACCATTCATTTAGTGACTGTTCAAAGTTACAGCGGCACTGGGACTTACAACTGGTACCCACACTTACCACCATCATAGTATCCCTGCAATCATGTGATCCACGTTCAGGCGCTTGGCAATTGGCATGTATTTATGATGGTGGCGGTGTCCCAGAGTCACATGATCACCATTTGTGACCTTCCCAGCTAGCTTCCCACAAGCAAAGCCAATGGGGGAAGCCAGATGAGCATGTGATCCCTTAATTGCCACGATTTGCTTAACAATCACGGCATAAAAAGATCATAAAATTGGGCATGACTTACTTCAGAGGTCCCCAACCTGTGGGCAGTGAGACAGGTTGGCCAGTTCGTGCATGTGCACGCACACACCCCACTCATGCTAGTGCGAAAACAGGACACTGCAGTGTGAGGCACAAAAACAGGATGCTACCGCACCTTGGGGTGCAAAAACGGGACACTGCTGCACCACACAGCATGAAAATGGGTCGCCGCCGCGCCTCAGGGTGCAAAAATGGGACACCACGCCTTGGGGCGCAAAAACAGGCACCGCTGTGCTATGGGGAGCGGAAACAGGGTGCTGTGCCGTGCAAGAAAGGGTAGTGCTAGTATCATGCCATTGATTTTACTTGTCAGTAGGCTGCAGAAGGTGATCATACATGACCCCGGGATATTGCAACCGTCGTAAATATGAATCAGATGCCAAACATCTGAATTTTGATCGTGTGACCACGGGGATGCTACAATAGTCATTAAGTGTGAAAAATGGTCATAAGTCACTTTTTCAGTGCCGTTGTAACTTTGAATGGTCACTAAGTGGACTGGGGACTACCTATACAACCATTATAAATGCAAGCAGCCAAATGCCCACATTGTGGTCCCATGAGCAAGGGGTGTGTGTGTTATGACAGTCGTAACTTTGAGGATAGATCATAATTCACTTTTCCGAGACTGTCATAACTATGAACTGATGTTACATGAAAAAGCTGTATATTACTTGTATATCAAAAGTATGAAAACCTAACCAAGTTTTAAAAAAATCAATTCCATTCCTATTACTGAGAAAACTGTCAGATATGAGAAATTGCTCCTCACGTCTCCCATAGTCACGAAAGGCTCCGTGCCTTGTTTCATATCTCAGTAAAGCTCTTGAGATCAACCAAAATGTCAACTTTCCAGTACCATCCATCCGCATTTAGATTCCAGAAGAATACAGTAGTGGCTTATGTGGAAGCAGCCAAAGCTAGCTGTAGCAGTGCCAGCAAACAAGGGTTATAATATAGCACCGTGAAACTGTGAGACATTATATGGAAACATCCTTGGGAGAAACTACTGATCTATAAACAGCATTAACCCATCTCTTGAGTTCTGCACATTCTCCTTTAAAAGATTGCATTTCCTGCAATGTGCTTTTGATTATCATTTTCAACCTTCAAGATATAAATAACCTTAGTCCCGATACCCACTTCTGGATTGGGAGCAGCATGTAAGTCCCAGTAAAATAAATAACTTTGAGATGTGTTTTACTTCCGCTTTCATAAACATCAATCACCTTGACTACTTGAGAGAAGATTCCTATCCGTTAAGATCATCATCATCCAAGGGATTTGACAATATTGTTTCAGAAAAGACACTCTGTTCTATTATTAAGAGGGACGTGCCCTGGTTGAGATAGGCCTGCCAACTTTCGTAATTTTTCCTCCGGTTTCTATCATACCGGATAGGATTTTAAGAGTTAAGGACTTGTTAATATTTGATTGTAATCAGCTTTGACAATGGATAATAAAAATTAACCTATCAGTTATTTTCTTCTTGTCTGATTAACTGGAAAACACAGCCAACACCTGACGTATACATTCTCTTACCAATCACTTCACAGCACTGAAGAATTTAAGTCCAGGGTGATGAAGGTAATGAGAAGAGAGTAAGAAATATAGGCAAGAAGGTCTAAGATACAGAACTGGGCAAGCATTCAGCCAGACCTCTTCCAGGATCTCTGAGAAAGAACCTGTCTATGGGGACAGATAGGGAACTGGAGGCCAGTACGCCCTCTGCCCCTGTGATTGGTACGTCATGGCAGGAATGCTGTGTTTGCAGATCATGGCACGTCACTAAAAAGATCAAGTTATAATGTAGTTCAGATGTTGCATTAGTTGTGAAGCAACATAGTCCCAGCTACTTTTAGTTGAAGGCTGGAGCTTCTCTGGGGAAAGAAATGATCGAACAAGCATTTGTGATAAAACCTAAATCTTCTTCAGGCCATCGGAATACAGATTATTAGAATACATTAGAACCTTATCTATAGAGCTGGGGCAGGAAACCTTTTGGTTTTGCTAAACCGGTCACTGTTAAATCAATTCCTCTGTTCCTACTCCCAGGATTGCATTGAGTTGGCATAGAAACCACATCAGGGCTAGACAGCTACAGCAGTTCCACAAGCGGTTACCCTTCCCCCCCACTCCCCCCAAAAAACCAACACCCCCCCCCAGGAGAATAGGAATAGCTCCACTAAAGAAAGACGTGTGTGGGCTTTGAGCAAGGGAGGGAGGGAGGGAGGGAGGCTGAAGTCACCTGGAGCTTAAAAGGCAGTAAAGTCCTTGAGGACAAGGATAAGCCAAGGTACCTTCTAGATAAGGACCAAGTTGAGGGCTATGTCTATGGCACAACCTCGGCTACAGTTTGAACTCCTTCCAGTGGGAAACTCCTTTAAATTTCTTTTTGGGGGGCTGCCCATCACTGGGGAAAACTAAACCAGAACATAAATCCTTGGCCTTGGAGTTAGTCTGAATCCAAGAAACTACACTACAATGCATACAAGAAGCTCCTTAGGGACACATCCTGCCCCTCCCCACTGAAAGACACAGGTTGAACTCATATCTCAATCTGAGATGTAAATTTGTTAACCCTGGATTCCTGTATAAGCCACCATGCACTAAGCTATAAACCATGGTTTCTAAACCCCAGCGCCTGGCTTCACACCTAAGCTTTGTGAAAAATACATCATAGCCTATCATCCTATCTGAAACAGGCCTGGCACAGTCTTACATAGGCCCTGCTTTGCATTCCGGATTTGACCTCTAAAGAAAGCTATTAAATCAGGACATTTATGTTGGCTGTCCCTATTAACATACCTCAGAGCAGCAAAGCTCTGGGGTATGTTAGCATCTCTATCCCTGACATACATACCTAGGATGTAGAGAGCCATTCATTCATTTCTTCTGCATAAATTCTTCAAATCTCTCTTCACCTTTTAGGCCAGTCTCCTGCTGTAAGAAAAACACTAGGAACTCATGGTATCATCAATGTGTTTCAGGTACCAAGAAAGACAGTATTTAGAGTTTGGCTCCTAACCAAGGTTCGCAACAAGACATTACAGGATGAAGGTATTTAAAACTTGTCGCTATCTACCCTGCTTCTACCTTCCCCGTTTTAAGGAGCTCCCCAAAAGGAATTCAGCCAAGTTATGGCCATGTACAGCAAATGGAGAAGACAGAACTTTCCTGGAGGCTGAACAACACTTTTAATTCCACCTGAGTCATCAAGAAGAGTTATCGATCAGGAAATCACAAAGCGATTTAGCTAAGTCCAAGCCTGTTCTCTAAGGCCACTTGGCACACAGTAGTGTTTTCTCTTCGTGGGCTTTGCAGATTTGGTTTTCATTAGTTCTTCTCGTTTCTGTTCTTACTGGCAAGCAAAAAGCAGAAGCATTCTCCCATCTATTTCCCCAGGCACTGAGCTGTATTGTAAACTGGGGGTGGGTGGGTGTCTAATAAAGCCCTTTAAGAAACCCCATCTGTACGATACCCAGGACACCACTGGAGCAGGATCTTGCATTTCTTCAGGTACTCCCTTGCCATTTGCTTGAAGAAATAAAAATCAATGTAACCTTCCTGGAGCAATTCAGAGGTTAAGACACACAACTCAATGTTCCTTCACAGTCGCAGTTGTGAAGAGCTTTAGGGTAAGACTGCCCTCTGGTGAGCAATGCAAATACAGCCATATCTTGTCCAACCTGGCAACAAGCAAAACAACTTTCTAGTCCCCTTCATGGTTTAACTACCAGACCAAGGTAAATTGAATACTTTCAAAATCAATAGAACATGATGGGGGGTTATTGATATAGGAACTGTCCACTCAAGGGAAGTCTATTCAGTTCATAGCCCAGCCTACAAGGGTTAACTATAGTGCTAACAATTTCCTATATTCAGGAAATTGAAGGGACATTCAGGTTTTCTGTGAGAGGAGAACCATGCGGGTGGCATTGTCTTACTCTGCTCTTAAACCCACCTAGAATGAAGTGGCAAGTGGCTCTGTCATTACATTCTTCAGGAGCTGCATTAATACCAGCTAAAACAAAAGGGACATTTTCTAAGTCTGCCCACCTGCCCAGATCTATGAAGCTGAGGAGGGCAGGAGCCATCGCAAAGCACTCTGCTAGGACTGAACTCATTTGGTTTTTGAGAAGCTCTCAGAAGCCGAACTCGTGTTCAGCCTCTTCATGCTGTGGGACTCTGGAGGAAAAGGAAAAAGCAGACGGCCTGGGAAGCCTATGAAGCACAAACCCTTAGCAAGCCATTTTAGACTTCTCCCCCAGCAGGAAACAACGACTTCTTTCCTCTAATGAATGAGCCCATCAGCCTTGCATTATTCCCCAGTGCCCAGGCTTATGAGCGCATTTAACCTCAAGAGCATACTGAACATGGAATCAACTTCTCGAATCTCCACTAGCAGCTAACAGAAGAAGCTGGAACTACTAATGGAAGAGATGCTCCCATCTTGGCACAAAACCCACAGATTTAACAAAGTTCGGAGACTCCATCCTTGCAAAAGGAAAACAGCCTTTCAGAAAAGCCAGTGTGAAATGAGTCAAGAGGAAGGCCAAGAAGTTCCACAGAAGTTCTTTCCTCTGGATAGCCGAGCGGTGGCAACATGCTCCAACGTGTGCCAGGAACTGAGAGAGAGCGAGAGAGAGAGACAGCGAGGCTCTGCTGGCATCTGAGGCAGGTCTGTAGCTGAAATCTGGTCGCAGAAAGCATTTGGCTTGGAAGGTTTAAGAGTCACCTTTTAATCCCATTTAAGTTACAAAAAAAGAGGAGTGCGCACGCTACAAAATAACCTTGATATGGGAACATTAACCAGTTACAGCTTCCATTCTGTGCAGAAAACCCTGCTCCAGTATGGCTGGGTAATGCCAGCAGGGAGGCCTCCTATACCCCAGGCATGCTGGGATTCCGAGATTCGATGCAGGGATACCCCGCAGGTAGTGGAGTTAAGATGCAGCAATCAATTCTGGCTTTGGTTTGACTCTGATGGGCGATTTTTCTGTGGAGAAGGAAAAAAAGACATACAAAGAGGAAGGAGTTATTGGTTTTGAAAGGTTTTAGAGCCTGTCAATCCTAAGCAGCGGTTTATGCAATCCCGTCACTGACCTACACCCGGAACAACTTTTTCAGGAACTCAGACATAGGCTCTTTTTTGCCTCCTGCCTCCTACAAACACTCCCTCCAATGTGAATGGTGAATTCCTCTCTGTTCTTCCAGAATGATCAGGTATGTGTGTTTGTGCCATTACATTCTTCGGGAGCTGCAGCAATACCAGCTTTTTCAAGGTTAACTAACAAACGAGGCACAATGCTTGCTCAAATACAACACCCCCCCCCATTCCCTGTGCCAATCTTTCTGGAGAAGCTGTGCTTAATTATGAGTGCACACTTCGATTCTGGCCTCAGCAGATAAATCATATTCTCCCAGTGGGCACCTAATGTCTTTTAAAAGAGAGCTACTGTGACAAGGCACAGACCCTCATAGAAGAACAATGCCAATCAACTGGGCTAGATTGTGCTACTATTCATCATACTGTGAATGCAGAATGTAAGCGGCTGTAGCACAAGCAGAGCAATGTTGTGGTTGTTTTGAAAAGCTTATTCTTCCGTCCACTTTCGCTGAAAGCTTTCTTCTGACCCTGAGCTATCCTCCCAGGTCTAACCCGTTTTAAGGGAAGGATTAGTCAAACCATGGAAAGGTTTAAGTAATAAACTCTGTAAACAAAAGCCAGATCTTGCCGCTTGCTGGAAGAGCTATATATTTACATATGATATTCTATAGTTGGGTGTCTCTTAAATATTTGTTATTTATCGTATTTATATACGGCATGCCCTCAGCAGAGCCAGCCTATGATACATTCCGCAAATAAGTACTAAAGACAAAATATTATAACATTTTGTAAAATCCTAAAAAAAAATAATAACAGTTTCCCACCCATCCACCCCTCCGTAACAAAACAATCTGAAATCAACATTAAAGACAACAGATCAAAATGCACTATCTGGGGAAAGATGAAAGTGCAAAAACAGATTCCAATTCCCTCCATTTCCTCATCCTCTCCAAAAATGCCAGAAAGGGCCAGCAAAACCGTCAGGGAAAAGGGAGCTTCATAGCACTGGAGCCATCGCCAACATCACAGATTCCAAATAAATCTCTTCCCAGAGTAGCAAGTATAAAAAAGGGCCTTTATCTGAAGAAGGCAACTCAGAGCTTACAACATACAGAGAGGATGGTGCGAGTCAAGCCTTTCAGAAATCGACTATCAAGCACCTGGAATCTGATTCAAAAATTTGTTGGCGGGCAGCTTAGCCGGAATGTGTCACATGCACCTGTTTAAGATATATCTGACAGAGATATGGCCACTGCAATTTGAATCTGACAACATTTCCAGTTCGCCTCCGTAGCACCTTCACACTGGGCATGTTGTAATAGTCCATTTGATAAGTAAGCAAAGCAAAAATAATATGATCTCTTCTGAAAAGGTTTGAAATAGTAAACCATATACAAGTTAGAAAAATGCTCTAGGCCACTTCATTGATCTGTGCATTCAAGGATGGCCCAAGGTCCAAGAGCCTGTCCAACAAATTGTAGATTTACTCCTTCAGGAGGGGGAAAAAAACATTAATCGAGGGAGAGTCCCTCCCAATCACCAACCACTAAGACGTCTGGCTTGTCCAGATTCAGTTGTAATCTATTGCATTTAGGCAGACTACAATCTGGTCCAAGCAAAACCAATTCTAAATACACGTGCTTTCAATCTATGTTTGAGAGCACCAGGTTCTGGGCATGATTGTTACAATTAACTTGCTAAAAAAAACTCTGAAAACTGGTTTGAGAGTGTGCATGTGATAGTTTGACATCTTGTACTATAGATTCAGTTTGCAAGAGATGCTTCAGAATATGCAGGAGTGCAAATATGGCATCTGTTTATGACTTATTTAAGCAGCTGTATTGTTTTCCAGGATCATACAATGGCAACTAGTGCAGAGAAGCCTTCCCCTGTTGCTACATGATCCTGAAATCAGATGTGGCTGCTTTAATGAGTCATAGATTAACACTACATTTGTACTGCAAATAAAATCCGAGACAGCATAAAGGCCCTATTTTTCTGTTCTCATCCTTTTTGCACAACTCTTGCTTCCAACTTTCATTCTCTACAAATTCATTACAGCACCACTCATTTTACATTTCAGTGTTTGCTTTCAGAAAAAAAGACAAATTGAACAAAAAACAGGAGCCAGATGTTTAAGACACAGATTAGAAGTAACTTTATTTTTTTAATTGGAGATTCTAGATTTAGACTCTTGTAGCAATTCAAAATTAGGGAAGAGATGGGAAAACAGTTAACAGTTTCTAGATAAACAATTACTTTTAAAAGTTTATGCTCTTTGCTTGAAAAGGGAGAAGCACTTGAGCAGCGGTCTTCAAACTTGGCCCTTTTATGACTTGTGGACTTCAACTCCCAGAATTCCTCAGCTAGCGTGCCTGGCTGAGGAATTCTGGGAGTTGAAGTCCACAAGTCATAAAAGGGCCAAGTTTGAAGACCCCTGCACTTGAGTATAATGTAGTGAAAAATAACCTCTTATGATGTCTGTTCCCCAATATAGTATAAAGATTAAGGTGACTGTGGGCTGTGGTGACACTCTCATATTAGAAGGACTGCTAGCAGGATAAAATCAATAGATCTCCACGCTGCTCCTTTGAGTTTCCAGAGGAAATATGGAATGTAACAATAAAATAGGTAAGAGCTACAGCTAGTGCAAAAAAGTAGTTCAGAGGCTGACATTCCAAAGAGTAGAAGGCCCAGGACCAAATTAAATCTAATATAAATGGAAAACTCACTCATTTTTTAGCCTTCCCCTTTGTCAATACTGGGCTAATACACCATACTTACTTTCAAGGTAATTTACAAACAATTACCAGCAAGCAATACAAACATAAGACTACAAACTCTGAAGCTCTGCACCGAATATAATAACCGGCTGGGGCCTGAACACAGAGTGAACTTTGATACAAGCTGTTATAAATGGCCCTAGAGCCGTTTGTGAGTGTTCTGTAGATTTCATGCCTGTCTTGAATGAAGTATTTATTAGCCATAGCCAAGATCAAGAGCCCTTTTGCGCACAACGGCAATATCAAAAGGAGAGGATAAACTCCAAACAGATAATACTACCTGAAATCCTTTCTGGGAGAGGCTCTGAGGGAACCTCTGGAAGATCAATCTGTTCCTGGAAGGGGAAAAAAAAAGGTTCCTGTGAAATACATATTTTACAGACAGGAAACAACTTTATATTACTGTAGAACTTTTAAACGCACAGGAAATAACTTCATTGCCATCTGTCTGCCACTTCTAAAGCTTTGAGCCTGTATTATTTACACAACGCCTCCAGCACTTTGATGGGTAATCCTGATTAATTTGGTTAGGGGAAGCTATGGATTCTTCAATGAATAAAGCTCAATTCACGAGGACTGCATGGGGATGGACATGGAGTCTTCTTGACAACAAAGCAGCAATGGTTAGCCATTGTCTTTTTTCACACCAAGTTCATAGTTCTTGGACTTCCTGGTCAATACTATTCAATTTTTTTTCTAAATTTCCCACAGCTGGTTGGTTGTTGATTACACTGCCACGAAGTGTGGGACAAGCAGAGACGTTTTAGGAAACACTGTGGATTGCTCAAATTAATAGTTATGGGTTTCATAATAATTCTAATCAGATACATAGCCATCATTTTCTGTCAAGTAACAATGTATGGTCCCTGAGATACTACCCCTTCCTTTATCCCTGAAACTGCTGGCAGACACCACAATAGAAGAATTACAGGAACTTCCTAACTTGTAAGAAGGAATAACCAGAAGATTACTAAGGCACTACTTGTTTCCTTCTTTCTTGCTCACAGTAAGAAGAAAGGATATAAAGTGAACGCTGATTTGTATTTTCTGCAAATCACTTATTTCTCTTCTCGTGTGAGCCTGGTAAATACAGAGACACGAAGCCAATTTAAAAGATATGCAGTCGTGTCAAGGATTACCCAAAGAATAAAATAATAGTAATAAATATACTAATGCCACAAGATTATCTACTTGAATTTTCTTGAACTAAGTTCTATCAGCAACCAAGAAAAATGCTTATAGTTCTGGGTTAAAGTTCATTATTTATGGTAATAAAGACTGATCGAAATACGTTATCAGCTTTAAAGACTGCACCTATTTTGCTGTTACTATGGCAAACGTCTTCTTTGGTCAGTTAAAACATGTAAAGAAGAATCAGAATTGAAAAAGCACCTAATCTTAAGAAGGACCACACTTTTTCTAGGTCTTACTTTTGAATTTTGAATTGCTTTTGAATGTATGAAAATAATTACAATCCCCAATATCTTCCCTAATCTTTTCCCAATATCTTCCCAGTTCATCTTAATACAGTGGTTCTCAACCTTTTTAATGCCGCGACCCCCAACCGGTCGTAAGTCGAGGACTAAACTGGTCGTAAGTCGAGGACTACCCAACCGGTCGTAAGTCGAGGACTTTCCCTGCCCGGGAGCGCCGCGCATGCGTGGTTCCGCCCCCTGCGCCAGCCGAGGCATAGCTGGCAAGCGGCAGAGATGGAGCAGGCCGACCACCAGCTGGCCCAGCCCAAGGGAGGTAAGGCACCCGCCGGAAAAGGGGAAAAAAATGGCGGACAGCCTTGCTTGGCGACCCCCGTGAAATGGTCGATCGACCCCAAATGGGGTCGCGACCCATAGGTTGAGAACCGCTGTCTTAATATATAATTCCATCATTATTATCCTAACAACTAGGATTTTCTACCCTGAATTTTATTTACTGGAGTGAGATATTTATTGGCCTCCTCTCTGCCCAAGATCATAATAAGTTATTATTTTTGTTAACATTAGCTGCTGTTTCCCATCTATTTCTAACATGAATACAAAATGCAATATACTGGCACACTCATATGAATGCATACCTATTGTGGAAATAAAGCTTAATTATCCCAGAGTGAAGGACCAATTTTCTAAGAAGGGAATTATGTGGCTGGAAGGGTGGTCCCAATTTTTGGGAAAATCAATGAATAAAAGGAAAATATCTATCCTTCTATTTAAAGTGCACCTTGAAGGATCAAGACGAATCCTTTGAAGATTCAGAAGGTTAATACAAATGATATACAGGTAGTCCTTGACTTATAACAGTTCATTTGGTGACCATTCTAAGCTACAGCAGCACTGAAAAAAATGACTTATGGCCATTTTTCACACTTATGACAGTTGCAGCATCCCCATGGATCTGTGATCAAAATTCAGATGCTTGACAACTGACTCCTATTTATGACAGTCGCAGTATCCCGGGGTCATGTGATCACCTTTTGTGATCTTCTGACAAGCAAAGTCAATGGGGAACCCAGATTCGCTTAACAGCTGTGGTTCTAACTTAACAACTACAGTGATTCACTTAACAACTGTGGCAAGCAAGGTTGTAACACGGGGCAAAATTCTCTTAACTGCCTCGTTTCGCAACAGGAATTTGGGGCTCAACTGTGGTCCTAAGTCAAAGGACCACCTGTAATCTGAATATTTTGGAAGAAAATGCTGCTTCCTCATAAAAGATGCAATTTCAAAATAAACTCCTGAACTAATTCCCTGACTTGGCAATTGGTGCTTACCTGAGTGATGGCATCTAATTCAGCTAAAATAGCATCTTCATCCTCCAAAGTGAGGCTTCCAGACAAAATCTCATCTATTTGCTGCAAAGAAAAAAGGCAGATGAACACCATGCTGTTAACAGATCTCCAAGATTTCAGTTCCCTCACTGACATCAAAGAAATACGAACAATTGTTACCTATTTGTTTCAGTCTCAGTTTCAATACTCAGGACGAATTCAATACTGTACACGCTTCCAGGTTAATATGGTAAGGTACTTTATGCTACATGTAAACAAGTACCTTAACCATCCAAGGGAGTGAAATGGTGGAATGCAAGTAACAAAGAGAGAGTGCCTTTGCACCAAGCACTACAGAATGGACCATGCAAGCCATACATACCCTCTGGTACTCTACAGCCTCCTGGGTTTCATCCATGATTCTTTCCACCTCTTCTATTGACATAACCTGTAAGAGAACCCCACAATTTTACATGAACGACTGTCAGTGGGTTGCAATTTAAGAGAGGGCAGGCAGGCAGCTCCAGTCATACTTACTTGGTGCATTCTATTTAAACATTCATTGCCAATTTTGAGGCCCTCAATCACTTTCAACTCAATCTGTGTGAATTCAATATCGTGCACCTGTAAGAGAGAAGACGAGGATCACAGAATGCCATGTTCTATCCATAAGGGTCAAGGAAAGCAACCTGAAGATGTTTGAAGAGTTCTAGCGAACAGAAGGCAGCCTGTGGCAGCCAGTTTCACTGGTGGACAGTTTGTACACTTGGATGGTCTACAGCAAGAATGGGTGATTAGTTTTCCCAATGAGCCACATTGGGAACTGGGATTGTTGTGGAGGGCCAAACCAATAGGTCTATGAAGGTGTGTAGCCATGGAATCATGGACATACTTAAATTGGAAAAAAAAACCCCAACCCTGTGGGCCGGACAGTGACAGCCAAAGTACTGGATGTGTAAAATGCCCACATCTGGTCTACGGAATCCATGGACAGTACAGCACCAAGCAAAATAAGTAGCATTTCCTTAGTAAATGAGAATCTTGCTATGACAGCAATAAAAGCAGGAGAAATCTAAGTTATATAATTTCTCTGTATGAATCCCTGTCTACCGAATTACTAGGATTACAAGTTGTTCAAATTAATTTCTGGTGCCTCTCTCTCTCCTCTTTTCTTGCAAAAAGGCACACAAACACATGAACGTATATAGTATCAACCTTCCTTAAAATGCAAGGACATTACAGTTGTGACAAGTTTGATAAGAGGCTGGATGAGCAACAAAAAAAGATGGAACAAGGGACAGTTCAGTCAACATTATGTGACCATTAAAGCAACTAATGCTGTTCAAAGTTATCATTCTATTCTCAAGACAAGCAATATATACTTGTGCCCAGAGCAGGGGTACCATGTATACTTGCAGATAAGCTGAGAATTTTAGGTATCAAAATACACCTCAAAAATTGTGTTTGGCTTACCTGTGAACCACAGCTCAGATTTTTTAAAGATATCACGGCCCAACTGCACAAACAGCAGTCAAATGCTTAGGAGTACCTTGGTTAAAAATTTGCTTTAAAATTCTAGGGTTGGCTTATCTGAGGGTGACCTATTTTTCACGGTGTTTCGACTAAATTTTGAGGGTCAGCTTATCTGCGAGTATATACAGTACTCCTAAAGGACGTTTAAACCACAGCATTCCCCCATAAGAGCCAATGTGAATCCTGAGTTAAAGAAATCCTCTTATGTTAAAAGTAAATTAAACTAAACTCAGAAGCTTACATGTAAGCCACACTTCAGAAATCCTGAAAATCAAGTGACCAGATGCAATTCAGAAACCCAATCCCACATACCATGCGTTCTAAATTGCTAATTTGGTTTTCAGTTTTGTCTAACAATTGCTCTTGGTAACGCTTCTTCTTCAGCAAAAGCTTGGCTTTCCTAGAAAGAGAAAAAAAAGGAGTGGATGAAAAAGCAAGCCTAGAAAAAATATTATACCAAACCATTTTCGTCCGAGCTCAATAAAAAAAAAAATCTTTTATTTCAGGATTTGATAACTTGACAAGTTAACTAAAAATCTCTGAAAAAAAACAACATACAGGTCAGTTACAGAACTAGTCTGAATTATTGCCTCTTGTCAAGCAAGTCTTATTTTTCATCATTATAGCCAACAAAACTGATATATTTATTCCCTAGATATCTTTTTAACCCTTTAAAATGTTTTAAAAGCGTGCGGCCATTCTGTCAACGCACTACAGTGATTAAATTGCACTGGCTGCCAAGCTGTTTCCAGGTAATATATTTTTTAATTATTTACATTTACTATGAAAAAATAAAAAATTAGAAAGATAAAACCTCAGAAAATAGCAGAAAAATACCATAGCTGCAATCACACACCCCAACACCCAATCCTGAAATAGCCAAATGATTACAAGCAGAAAAACTATTATACAATACAATCTCTCCTAAAGTTTTTCATTAACACTGGAAGTTTTTAAGAAGAGACTGGACAGCCGTTTGTCTGAAATGGTGTAGGGTTCCTGCCTGGGCAGGGGGTTGGACTCGATGACCTCCAAGGTCCCTTCCAACTTTATTATTATTATTATTATTATTATTATTATTATTATTATTATTATTATTATTATTATTATTATTATTATTATTATTATTATTATTATTATTATTATTACTGAAAAGGCTGCAACCAAAGGGATTGTTGGAACACACCAAACAGCAGTCTCCACTATACACAGCAGATAACTAGAAAGCATAGGAGAGCATGTTTCAGCTGAAACACCGGTGGGAATCATTTGGCTAAAGCTGTATTGAAATATAGTACTACATATAATTATAGAGAAAGCCAGTTTAGTGTAGTGTTTAAGATGTCAGGCTAGAAGCAGGACATCGTGAGTTCAAGTCCTGCCTTAGCCATGAAAGCTGGCTGGGTGCCTTTGGGCTAATCACTCTCCCTCCCAACCCACCTCACAGGATTGTTATTATGGGGAAAATAGGAGGAGGAAAGTATATTTGAATATGTTTGCCACCTTAAATTATTTGTAAAAATAATAAAGGTGGGATACAAATAAATGTAAATAAATAATGGTAAGCTCAAACTCTATCCAGGAGTGACTTACTCTTTCTTGCCATCTCTGAGTAGTTGACGAGCCACAATCCTCTCCCGATCCAGCTGTAGAAAAATCTTTTTCTGATATTGCTTTAATTTGTCTCGTTGCTGTTTTAGTTGCTGGAAAAGAAAACAAACAGATCACTAGAAGAAATCTTTTCTTCCTTAAGTAGATATACTTGTGAACCCAGCAATCTTGATTTCCAACCTAATGTGCTGAAAAATACTGGAAAGTTACAACTGGATTTGAAAATTAAGCTATGCAAAATTAAAGTCAAGGCATTGCTACTGGTTCATTGTTATAAATCATATATTAAAAATACTAAAAAAAATAATGGTGAGAGTTATTGCCATCCTCTGGCATTCACACATTTCTGAATTTAAAGTCATAAGGGTGCCTTATTAGAAATAGTAAGTTGAAGTATCATTCAGAACAATTCTTTATGTTACTATTCATTCACTAATAGAAAATTTGATCCTCCAGATACTATTAGACTACAGTTCCTTTCATATATGGCCACTGACTGGAATTCAGAAGGTAACAGGTTCCCTCTTCTGGCTAATAAGATTTTTTTTATTAAAAATATTTAATTTTATTCCAACATTTCTTTCCATTCTGTATACAGTTGTAATATCTTCAGTTAAATTATGCCCAACAATGGTGATCTACTTAAATTCTAATGTAATATAAATAAATGGCAATTTTAATATGGAAATATGGAGGAACCAAAAGTGAAAGTGGCTCCCAATTTCTCTGTTGACAGATTCAACACAGTAAGTAAATCTGCACTGAAAGCTGTTGATATATATAAAAAGACTCCTCATAAAGTAATGAAGGAACTCTGAAGTGTTATGAAACATTCTGATAATGTTTAGATTTTCTTGTTAAATGAAGAACTGTGATTCATGGCACAGCATATACGTTAAGTGTAAAAATGTTCCAGATCCAATCCCTGGTTCTTTCAGGTAGGATTGGAAAATGTTTCTGCTGAAAACTTTCACTAAATGATAACAAGAGTCTCACTGTAAGAAACAATACAAAGCTATATAAATGCATTGGTTTGGGATGATACGAATTCAATTTCCTACATATGTTTAGTGGACATTAAGTAACTATATGAAAAGATTCCAGATTAAGAAATTGGAATATAATAGGTCAAACAAAGACCAGTTGTTTGAGATTTCCCTTAACAAAAATATGAGAAAAAATCCATTATTTCCTATCCAATGATCTGCGTTTTACTTTATGCATTTCTATAACCTGTAGATTTTCTCCATTCTACATATTATGTCCTTTTTTCAAAACATTCTTCACTTTCTGACAGTTAAGCTGCTTTCCAACTTATCTCATGTTATTGAAATAGTAGTATCTTGTGCTTTTTAACATTCAAGACATTCAGAAAAACTCTATAACACATCCAAAGTATGACATCAATTCCAACTTCAAAAGGACTCAGCAACCTCAGGATATTTTTAAAATCATCTAAATTTACAGTGTTTCTCAACCTTGACAATTTTAAGGCATGTGGACTTCAACTCCCAGAATTCCACAGCCAGCAGTGCTGGCTGTGGAATTCTGGGAGTTGAAGTCCACATGCCTTAAAATTGTCAAGGTTGAGAAACACTGATCTAAAAGGCTGTCATAGCTTTGCAATGTAGGATTTGAGTCAAAACACTTGGGCTTAAGCAAGACTTCAAACCAGGATCCCCAAATCCAGACAGCATACAATGTCAGGGGAACTTCCACCCATCTATCAGCCATTGGCTTATGGCTGTGTTCCCACCAAGTGCCTAAGGGCCAAAAGTGCAATCACATTCAGCTTGTTAGTCCATACTATTTTATATAAAGACACACTATTATTTTATACAACAAACTATTGGTTGACGTGTTCTGCCTTATTGCACTGACACACCAAAAGAAAGAAAAAGAATAAAGGAGAATATTTGTAACTCACACTGAAATGAGGGGTCCTTGGTGCTGTCTGAGCTTGGTTGTTTCCTTGCAGACGTTTCATTACCCAAACTAGGAAGCTTCATCGGTGCTAGATGATGATGATACCTATTATGGATAATGAAACGTCTGCAAGGAAACAACCAAGCTCAGACAGCACCAAGGACCCCTCAAAAGAAAAAGAAAGGTGGTGCGCACGCATTTATGCATGCATGCATGCATGCGTGCATGCATAAATGCGTGCATGCATGCACACACAGAGAGACTTTTTAAAAGGCGGGGAGAGAGAGGGAAAAAAAAGTGGAAAAGGACGGCGAGGAAGTCAGTGGATGAAGTCGCCGCCTCCGTAAAGGAGAACAAAAGTCGCTTCCTTTTCCGCCTTGCTAGCTATGCCCCGGAGGAAAGGCAGCCCTGCTGGGTCTGATGCCGAAAGACGCCTCCTGAACCTCCGGCGCACGGCCGCAGCCTGCCATTCCCGCAACACCCTCCCCTGTCCCCGCTCTCACCAGCACGGCCTTATCTTGCTCGGTAACGCGGGTCTGCCGCTTGCGACCGAACAGATTCCCCATCGCCCCGGCCCCGCCCGCGCGGCCTGGCCTACATCGGCCCCACCCGTGCCTTACTTCAGTACGGAGGCCACCGAGGCTCTATTCTGGTAGAACGAGACCCGCTAGACTCGGAGCGAAATTGACGGCGGACTCACGTCGCAGACTTAAGAAAATGCAGAGGAAGACTCTCCACCTTTTTTTTTTTTTGGATAGCACACTTCCGGGACAAGTTATGATTTTACTGGCACACTGAGGTTAGGATTCAACTTTCGATTCTCTAAGAATCTCTCTCCCGCTTTTGGGGGAGGAAGTGACGTATCCCGTGCACTTTTACCGTATATAGGGGAGTAGCTTCGCCCTCGGTTCGGTATTTTGAAGGGTGGGGGAGGCTGTTGCTTTCTTTGTCGGAGAAGGCAAGGTGATTGGCAATTGATAATATCTTCAAATGACGCATGCATTCAATTCCTGACTCTAATTTAGGGCGTCCTTTACTCTTTGCATTCCTGGGGTTTTTATTTTTGTAAGACTTTCCCTGGGAAAGAGTCGGAGGTTTCTACAGTTCTTGTGATCGGTTTCGTTAGTCTCAGTTGATTATGGATTCAGGCTTAGCAGCTTAGCTGTGGTTGAGTGTTACCCAGAAATAAACAAAACCTTTGTAGGAAAGAGGCAGGCTAGGGTGGCTTTTCCTAGTTTCTTGTAAGTTTTGTGGGAAGTCAGAGCCCCAGAGAAGGAAATATTAAAAGGGCAGAAATATATATTTCCTCAAAAGTATTTTAAAAGCAGAAACCAACTTTGGCTCCAAATCTCTCTGCCCCAAGCAAGACCTANCCCACCCAAACTCTAGGAGTCATTAGCCCCATCACCTGGGAAGCAGGATGTGATAATAGGATTAAACCACAGATATCAAGGCCTAGAAAAACACTCAGAAATAGCCTCAAAGTTCATGCCACAGGAACAGGAAACTATTCCAAACAGGGCTAGAGGGAGTATAAAAACTTACCCATGTGCTCAGTCTTTTTTCTTCTCTGCTCCTTCTTGCAAGGACCATCTTTCTTCTGCAATAAACTGTAACCTTCTTCCCAAAGCAGTCGCCATGTTTGCTTATTTATTCCCGGCTTGGATGAACCAGGATGAAGACTTACTTCTATCAGTTTTAAACATGAAAAACAAAATGTGAATCAAATGCATGTCAGCTGCATAAAGCCTAGTTGGTGGGAAGGGAGACAGGAAAATAGCACTCTTGGTTTGATATTATTTGGATGGATCTTTGTCCGACATGCAGTCCACCCCAATCTTAAATGTGGTTCTAACATTCAGTATTAATGTAAGGCAAGTGGAATCTGCAGGGCAGTCAAAATCTGCCAAATGGCAGATGCCCTGAACCGTTTGAAAGGGCACCAGAGCTTTGGATTATGACCCTGTTCCAACATCTTGCAGATTTTATTCCATCCCTCCAATGGGTGCTCCTTTTTGATGCAATTTTAAGCTGGATCACATAACAGGAAGCCTCACTTTAATTATCGTTTCTGAGAAAACAACGATCCAGGAAACCTGCAAGGTAAAGGGTAGGAATGTATAAATCTCCTCTCTCAGAAGTTGTTTTGGGGCTTCATGCCCTGATTCTGCTTCCTGGTTCGGGGAAGCAGCTTGGAAGCTCCTATCACTACCCTGTATCTTAAGGTGCTTCGCCTGTCGTCCACAGTTTAAACCTGGAGTGCAAAAGAAATAATGCTCTCACAAAAAATCAAAATGCAAAAATTGCAATAATTTCTATAGTGCCATCTCCTAGGCATGCAGCATAAAAGCGGTGGCTAGAAGAATCAGCTCTCCTCCCACCTTGAAAGACAAATCAGTATCACAAAAAGTAAACAAAATCAAAGTTAATTCAAATAGAAAAAAACAATAAAATGCAGAAAAGTCCTTTTAATCTTTAAAATCACATTCGGTATGGAGCTCCCCAGATTACAAAAACACAGTAACTTTCAAATTAGTTAAAGAACATTTGAAAAGAATATATAATTTTTTCCGATAGATAAAGAGCACTTTACCTAAAATATCCAAAGACAGATTGGAATTTTTTTTAATACGGTTGGCCAACCCCCCCCCCCTCTTTTCATGAACACAACCTGAAGTATGAACGGGAGCTCAAAAATACCCAATTCCATAATTTGTATAGTGAGACAAAGAACATGAAACTTAGCACAATACCAAAAAGTAGCTTACCACAACTTAGTGGGTACACATTTTGCTTATTTCTTCAATTTTAAAGCAAATTGTGTTCAAAGTCTGGATTTCTCCAGCTTCTTGGAGATAGCAAATGTTCACAGAATCTGCTGAGATGAAAACCTTATTCCTCATGCAGCTTTTATTCTGCAGAATCCTCTCTGGTTTTTAAAAAAAGGTCAAGCATTCTTCATTGGAGGAATGTGCTGGGGTTTCTTAGTTTGTGTTATGTGATGAGCTGCATTATAAGTGTAATCTGGAATCTGACATACGAAGCACATTCACTACACAAGCTACGATCAGGTTACATGAATGCACAGCGTTGTTCGACTTCTAGAAATCATTTTTTCCAAGGTAAAACCCCTTCCATACCAACAATTTCAATGGATTATGTTTTCACTGAAATAAGCATTGAAACCCACGCAGAGCCAGGCATAACATTTTATTTGCATGTAAATTCAGAGATGCCCAGTCCGGTTTATATAATAATCTTGCCCGAGGGAAGAAAAGATTTGAAATACAGAAACATGTGATTGAAATTGTGTCCTTTGTTCTTCCTATTGAGCCTGCTAACTACAGACCAAGGAGAGGATTTGTCCCAAAATTAATAAGAAAGAGGAGCAATATGAATATAATGAAGCCTGGAGGAGGCTTTCAGTTAACAGCTGGTACTTCCCACGCTGTCTAAATACTGTTCCCATTTTATCATATGCCAGCTCTTCAGATTGATTTGTGAAGAATGTATTTAAAAAATACACCCTCCTCTATGCATCTAGATGGCTACAGAGAGGGAAATGGATCTCTGGGACACCTAGGATTACTAGGGTTACTTTTTTCTTTTCCCATCCAAAAGAACCTACAGCCTACAATGGAAGTGACCTCCAGAGAGAAACAGGTTTTTAAGATTCTATTATTTTATCCAACACCAACAAAGTAGGAGAGTCTGTCTGGCATTCTTTGAAGGGATGACATTCATCTTGAAAGCTGCCTCAGTTTCTCTTTATTGTACCTTGTGGTTAGAATGGAGTACTGCAGGCTAACTCACTGCTCACTGCTAGGAGTTCGATCCTGACAGGCTCAAGGTCGACCCAGCCTTCCATCCTTCCAAGGTTGGTAAAATGAGGGCCCAGATTGTTGGGGGCAATATGCTGACTCTGTAAACCGCTTAGAGAGAGCTGTAAAGGCTATATAAGTCTAAGTGCTATTGCTATCTTATACAAGAAAATCAAGGCAAGGCTGTTTTGAGTTTTTTCCTCATTCTTTCTTCAGTCTCCGGACTATGTAATCTTTGGATTCCTTAATTATTCCTTCATATCTTCTGCAATAGCATTTCTTTCCAGGACTCTGTGCTGGTTGCCAATCAGCTTCAGATGAAACTTAAAGTTCTGGTGCTAATTCTAAAGCCCTACGTGGCTTTGTGCCAAGTTACCTGCTTTCTCCCTTTGGAATTGGACTGCCCAGTTTGATCTAACTGGGAGAAGCTGTTAGTGGCTATCCACCCTAGGGAGATGAGAGGGCCCAAGACTTGGAGGTGCTATCCCAAAGGTGCTTTTTTCACGAGGCAACTGGACGTTGTTGTTTTTCTTTGAAGAAGTTTCTTTGAAGCAAAACATCTTCAAAGAAAAACAACAAAGTCCAGTTGTGAAAAAAGCACCTTTGAGACAACCATGACCTGGATGACTGAGAATCTCCATAGACATTTGGAGGTGCTGTGTTTTTTAAATAGCAGTTTGGTCTTTTGGAACAGCCTCCTAATGGACATTGGATTGGCTCCCAGTGCCTGCTTTTTAGAAGCACCTCAAAATAGATCTTTTCTGGAAGGCATTTGGGCCATAATACTATCTTGCGCGGATTTGATTGTGTTATATATTTTGCATTGATTTTTTTTTACATTTTAAATAAAAATTTAAATTGTGAATATTTTAATGTTGCATTGTTATTGTGCATTTTATATGAGTCCTTTTGGATTCCAGGAGTCTTTAATGTGAATAATATCCCCTCAAGAGGCAGAGTTGGGGACAGTTTTGAGACTGTAAATAGAAGCAGATAGAAAGCCAAGGTAGCCGTGTTGATCTAGGACAGGGGGTAGGCAACCTCGGCTCTTTTATGACTCATGGACTTCAACTCCCAGAATTCCTGAGTCAGCTATGGGAGTTGAAGTCCATGAGTCATAAAAGAGCCGAGGTTGCCTACCCCTGATCTAGGAGAAGGGAGAAATTCAAAATTACCTGCTAAATAATACCTTTATTAGAATTGCCTATTTTTGCAATTTAGACAGTACTAGAAAGTTTATCTGATTCATAACATTCCATGTATTAAAAAAACCAATCAAATATTTTACACGTTTTTTTCATAAGCATTAGAATTAACCTTTTTTTGTACATAATAAGATGAATCATCAAGCGGGATCCAGTTTCTCCTGCTCTGCAGAGGTTGTGGACGTCTTCTCTCGCTAGATGGCAGTATAGGCTTACCATCAAAACTTCCATGCAGCATTTCAGCACTGAAGTTTGCTGCAATGCTATTCGTGGCTAAAATGGATCTCTGGACCAGGTCAAATTGCCAACAAAACAGTTGTAAGTTTGTATAAAGGAATATACTCAAAAAGTACTGATAAGATGCTCTTCAGTTGGCAAGGAGATCTGTGAATATTTGCTATATGAGAGATTTGTAACAGAAGTTCATTAGTATTGATTTTTTTTCACTCCTTATGAATTTGAAATGACAACTGAATTAAGAAATCAGCATTAGAATTTAGAGTCTTTGGAAGTCTACTCTAAACCACTTCAGTGATTTGATATAGTAGGCACAGGTGATAGGGCACAT